CTTAAAGGTAGGCAGACAATGTAATAGAGCAGCAGGAAATGCTAGCAGAATGCTTGGTTGTATAGACTATATTTAAAAGAAGAAAAACTACCACAACAAAAGGACATAGTTTTGAATTAGAGGGGCAAAAGTTAAAAAATAATATTAGGAAGTATAATTTTACTGAGAGGGTAGTGGATGCATGGAATAGCCTTCCAGCTGAAGTGGTAGAGTGGCATACCATTTGCAAATGTAGACAACCCAGGGTATTCAAAATGGGGTATGTACAGTCTTTTGTAGTAGCCACTTAGTCATGAGCGCTGGCCAAAGGTAGGAGGTTTATTTGTTTTTTGCATTTAAAAAAACCCAAAAACAAAACTGCAGTTTTACTGGTGATATCATTATTGTGATAAGTTTTACTGTTTTGAAAAACTCTTATTTGTGTTCAGCGAAGTCCCCTTTTCAAATGTAGACAACCCAGGGTATTCAAAATAGGGTATATCCAGTCTTTTGTAGTAGCCACTTAGTCACGAACGCTGTCTAAAGTTAGCATTTTATTTGTTTTCTTAATTTTTTTTAAACAAAAATTGCACTTTTACTGGTGATATCAAAGGCCGTGATAAGTTTTACTTTTATAAAAACTTATATTTGTGTTCAGCCAAGTATAAAAATACCCCCCATGTAAAAGTTTTATAAAATTTTGGAAAGTTACAGGGTTAAATTCTCTGGACTGTCTGCCTGGGTTGTCAGACAGGTCCCTCATATTATGATTAATAAAATCAAATAAATATGTAAAAATAATAGTTAAATATGTATGTAGAATGTGTGTATATGTATGTATATACATATTTATATATATATATATATATATATATATAAAACAAAAATTATTAATATTCTATATATATTTATATATAGTGTAGATTAGATTAGCTGTATTAGTCCCATAGACAAGATGCCAACATATCAGAGTATTGCAGTATTCAATGATAACTTTTTTATTGGACTAACATAATATTTCAAAGACAAGCTTTCGAGAGTTTTCCTCTCTTCCTCAGGTCTGAAGCAATACAGTTGTAGCAAATATTTGTTTTTGAATTTTTTTTTCATTTAAAACATATACATATTTTTTTCGATTCACACAAGCCATATTTTTCTGTAACGCACAAGTATAGTATTTACAAAGAATATACTCTACTTATCCAGTACAGAGGTAAGGATATATTGATCTTCACTGCTGAATTTCTATTTATTTTTTTTATTTTTTTTTTCTTAACATGATTTTCTCTCTTTTTTGTGTTGCATTTTTAAAGTTGAGAGAGAAGGAAGGTATTGCTGAAGAACCAATTAATCATATTATTGATTCTTTCATTATGGAGGAGGCATCAATCACTGAAAAGTGTACGCAAAGCTAGTCTTTATTCACTACTTTTGTACTATTGATTATCTGGTCAGCAGCAGATGCTAAATGTTTTACAAGCTATTCTTTATTCTTATGAAATAGTTTGCATGCATTTATGTTTTTTTTTTTTTTTTACACAAGCATTACATAGTTTTATATGCTGATATCGTCAGACAGGAATAAGGAACATTTATAACCCAATAACAGTAATTTTCTTTTCCTGGCTTTATTCCACAATTTCTGCTTTATCTTTAAGTTTATTCTGCCTGGCAGTTGCATAATCGCTCCAATATACTTTGCATGTCAGAGCATTGAGCAGTATGCTAACCTCCAGCACCCAAGGGGTTAAGATTTTATTACTTGTTTTAACTGTAAAACTTTGCAATATGATATTGTATTTTTCTCATTGTTGCAGTCCCACCAAGGTCCCAAGGCTAACTAATGAAGGAAGTGCTATTATTAGTGCTAAATTTACTTTACCGCATTTTACTTACAGAGACAAACAGTGATGAGGCGCATGAGTCATTTAGCAATCGATCATTTTTAATGCAGAAACCCAAAATAGAAAATGTAAAAAATATAATTTTTACTGCATATTACAAAGCACTGAATTAAAGGAATTTATGCAATTTATTTACTACAGCAAGCTCATAGATAAAAATAAAAATGTTAATTTCAGAGGGCGTGGCCTGGACGCCGACGGAGATGGCCGCCTAACAGAGGAGCTCCGTCCCGCTCAGCAATTGAACAGCACACATACGGCAGCATAACCTACCCGATGGGCCGCAATAAAATGCCTGACTCCCACCCGACGGAGACAGAACCCCAGCAGTCACAGCAAACTGGTACACTGGACGGGTACCTAAGAACGCCGACCAGACAGCCACACACTGTAACGGGATCCAAGAAGGCCGACGTCCGAGCTCCAGCACAGGTACTTGACGCACAGGAACCCTCCCTAGCAGATATCAGGGCAGATATTAGGGCCCTCACAGAAGCCATGGTCACAAAATCTGACCTTCAAGCCCTATCAGCAAACCTACATGAAGTTATAAGATCAGAGGTAGCCACACTGCAGAGGGACCTCACAGCCCAAGATGGCCGCATACAGACCCTGGAAGGCACACAGCAAACAGCTGCGACCAGAATAGAGGCCACAAATGCAGCTATAGCTAGACAGGGGGCAATGCTACTGCAAATAAGAAGACAAACAGAAGACCTGGACAATAGAGGGCGCAGATCCAACATAAGGATCCACAATATACCTGAAGCCCCTGGGGAAGAAGATGTTGGTGCCATGCTGACAGACCTGTTCAGGGAAATCCTGGGCCCAGACGCCCCGCAGCACTTCGACTTCGACAGAGCACACAGGGCTCTGAGACCCCGCACTACAGAAAACCCACTAAGGGACATTATATGCTGTCTACACGAATACAGGATAAAATAACTTATAATGAACAAGGCTAGAACCAAGGCTAGAACCAAACAAACTTGGCTGTTCCGGGGAGCGGATGTATCCCTGTTCCAAGACCTATCACCCCTCACACTAGAGGCTGAAGAGCCCTGAGGCCAGTGACACAGCTACTGAGAAGCCGAAATATACCATATAAATGGGGCTTCCCCTTTTGCCTGACCGCTAAACATGGCAACGAATGGAAGTCCCTACGCTGGCCAGAAGAAGTACCCACATTCCTACTAATCATGGGTCTGCCTCACACTGAAGTAACAGACTGGGTCCTGGGCCAGCTAGAGCAGAGAAACCACCAAATGGCTCCTAGAGCACTCAGATGCCGCAGAGAAGATTCGCCGCAAGGACGACAAGCGCGCTGATACTAACAGCCAGCACAACAACAAGCACACCCCAAAGCGGAATAGGCCTCAGAACAGGAGATGGACCCCATGGCACGAACCAGCAGAGGTATAACGTTTCCCACAGCAGACAACAGATGAACTTCAAGACCAAGGACACACAGATAAGTACTATACACACTTAGACTTTTGGACACCCAATGACAGTGACAATGGCATATGATCCCAAGACACAGAATGCCTATAGTACCTCCTAGACTCAAGGCGACATAAGCACCACCCCCCACCTTACAAGTAGAGACACTGGATCACTACCATCACCGAGAGATTTCGCCTCCTAATCAACGCCAGGGAACAACAGCAGGTTGGGGGGCACAGGGCAGAGGGCATACAAAGGAAAAGAAAAAAAAACACACTGGGACCAGAGCATATGGACCACTTGCATGGACTGACTACAATCAGACGTGGACGCAAGGCTCCTGAGCAGGGACTATGGGCAATGTGACACTGTTCGAAGGTGGGGTTGTTGACTGCTGGTAGAGGGAGTTAGGGAACAACAGGGTCCAAGGGTCAGAGGTCAGGAGAGAGGGAGGGGACAGAGACCTAGGAAGTAGATGGCCGGCTGAGAAGGAAGAGATGGGAAGGGGAAAGGAGGGTATAAGAGACAGATGCCTACCATACAGAATAAGTGGCCAAAAGTCAATCGTACAATAAGAAGGGAGAAGGGACGGAGGGAGAAGAGACCTACATGGGTGGGATGGGGACGTCATGGGAAGAGGAGAAGGTATAGTGTCATATTATGATATTAATCATGATTGTTTGGCAATTGAGGGGTGGGAGGGAGGGGGAATGGGGGGAAGAAAAAAAGAAAAGAAAAAAAAGGGGGGGGGGGAGAAAAAAAAAGGAGGGAGTGAAGCTATAAGGTACTCGGAATGTCTATGTATGATGAACTTGCAACTCTTTTCAACTGTTTAATTATGCTGAAGCACATACCATATGCGTAGCCCCACCGAGCTGTTGTCCAACCCCGGCATAAAGGGACACATAGAAACTGGTCGACTGCCTGTAGGCAGAAGCAGACGACCCAAGAAAAACACGCTAGACAACCTTGAGTCCCCTAGGGCACTCATGTCCCCACCCCTGGAACAGCACAGCCAGTGTTAAAGGAGACCACCATGCACATAGTCGCTACATCCCATGCCCTACTGGACTCACACCACTCACAAGCCAAACCATCAGCACACACACCACGTATGATGATGAACTGACACGAAGGGAGACGATACCTCACTAAAGACATTCAATAGCAGACTAGCCAGACATCTATTCACAAAGACAAATCAGACAACTACCCTACCGACAAGGTTATATCTCAGATATCAAAATGAAATAGCATGAGTGCATCTATCAAACAATAATTATAGCGGGAACGCAGACCCGCAGGACACAAATAATTTACCACACACTACCCCAATCGACATAACGAGAGAGATACACCCCGAAAGACACAGGCCACCACCCGACACACAATCCATGTAGAATACCCACTGGGAGACCACTGCCGACACCTAGCCGGAGAACTGACCGGCGGTACGGCACTGATTATCTACCCAGACACAAGGAGGTGCCCTATACCGGGGTACCGCGAAGCCCTTAACAGCCCCGATCCACCTCACAAAACAAACGCCTTCGACCCATCGGCAGATCGGGGACACACACAGCTTCCAACACAACCTACCACCCACACATAGTCGCACCACTCACACACACACCTACACACTACTCCTAAACCCACCGCTCCCCCCCCCAGCCCAGTCCCCACCCCTTACTGTCCCAAGTAGCCACCCTCAGAGCAGCGCTCGTGCCCGTCTGCTGGATGTGAAAACCGCGGCCCTCGTGGACACAGAGGCGGACTCACCGGACAGCACCCACGTGGAGATACCGGGATATAGAAAAATAGTGTACACACTGACACACCTAGTGATTCGAACACAAAACTGGAGGGGCCTCAAAACCCCGGAGAAAAGATCACACCTCCTTCGCAACCTCAAGCAGCAACATGTATCAGTCGCCCATCTACAGGAAACATACCTCAGACCAGAAACTAACAAGTTGCTACGGGACAACAGCTACCAAACAAATGTTTATAGCAATCACCCATCGGCCCACAAAGCAGGGACGGCGATATTATTGGCATCTCACTTACAATTCACCCTTATGGACAAGATGGAAGACACAGGGGGTAGATTTCTCTTCATTAAAGGAGAGATTGCGCGGAAAATATACACGTTTGCTACAGTCTACGCTCCAAACAGTGGCCAAGCCAGCTTCCTTAGGAGAACAATAGCGAGGCTATCTCGATTCACGGAAGGAGCCCTCCTATTTGGAGGGGACCTCAATGTACCCCTGGAACCTCGAAAAGATACCCAGACGCCGCAGACATAAGGCTGGTAGACACCAGGAGAGCGCTGCCGCCAGAGGGAAGGGACTACACCTATTATTCCACGCTACATCATAGGTACACCAGAATTGACTATATATTCGTGCAACAAGAGGGGCTCACATACCTCCAGAGGGCTGACATCCTCACCACGACGTGGTCCGACCACAGCACGGTGCAAGTGTCTATGACATCACCATTGTTCAGACCGACAAGTACCTCATGGAGGTTGAATAACTCCTTACTGATAGATGCGGCAATATAGGCACAGGTGGCGGAACACCTTAATCAGTACTTTGCGGAGAAAGCCACAGAAGGAGTATCAGACATGACGGTATGGGAAGCTCATAAAAGCGTCATCAGAGGTCACCTCATCCGAATAGCCACCCAAAGGAAGAAAGAAACTAGCCACCAGATCATAGACCTCACCCAGAAGATCAGCGACCTGGAACTAACTCACAAACGCGACCAACAGGAGTAGACCTACAGAGACCTAATGTCCACCAGAAGACAATTGGCAGAGCTACTTGAACGCAAACACGCCAGAACTATACAGCGATCGTGTGCATTCTTCTACAGGCACGCCAATAAAGGGGGCGAACTCCTCGCATGGATGCTGAGAGGCACACAAAATAGGGTACAAGTCCACACCATACGAACAGCGCAGGGTAAAACAACACAGTTCCCAAAGGAAATCGCAGATGAATTTGAGAAGTTCTACATGAAACTATACAACACACACGAAGGAAATAACGGACAATCCCCGACCACAAGGCAGGCAGCCATGATAGAATACCTGACCAACTTACAACAAAACACCCTCACACTGGTTGAAGCAGAGGAATTAGAATCACCTATCAATGAGGGGGAAAAACGACAGGCACTAAAAACAGCAAAAACGGGCAAAGCCCTGGGACCAGACGGCTTCCTGGTGGAATACTTCAAGAAATTCGGACACATACTATTACCGTACCTGACCAAGGCGCTCAACAGCATAAGAAGCACTGGCGGCTACCATCACAGTGATTCCCAAACCAGGAAAAAACACAGAACAAGTCGGCAACTACCGCCCAATATCACTCCTTAACACGGACATCAAACTATTCTCCAAAATTCTGGCAATGAGACTACAAACTCATATGGCGCGATAAGTACACCCAGACCAGGCAGGCTTCATACCAGGATGTGAAGCAAGAGACTGCACCCTACGACTGTTTGCCGTTCAACATCTGGCCAAACAAACGGAGTCGAGACTGCTGTTACTCTCCACAGCTGTAGATAAATCTTTTGATAGGGTGGACTGGAGCTTCATGACGGAAACACTACGATCCACAGGTATAGGCATGGGTATGCTTACATGGATCACCGCGCTTTACAGTCAACCGACCGCCAGAGTCAGCGTGAATGGTGCACTTACAGACGGTTTCGACATCAAAAACAGCACGAGACAGGGGTGCCCACTGTCACCCCTGGTATTCGCCCTCACCCTAGAACATCTATTAGAAAGCATCAGAAGAAACGAGAAGATAACGGGACTAAGACATAAAGTACAGGAACACAAATTCGCCGCATACGCTGATGATATGATGTTCCTTCTAGAAAATCCACTAGACTCAATTACACCACTAATGGAAGAATTCGAAAACTATGGCCGGATGTCCGGATTGAAACTGAACCTGACCAAATGTGAAAATTCTCAACGTCACGGCCCCGGATAACGAATGTGAGCAACTAAAGCAGAAGTTCCCATTCCACTGGTGCGCAGACAGAATGAGATACCTCAGACTGTGGATAACACATACAACAAAGGACATCTATACCCACAACCACGCTCCACTCCTGATAAACATCATAGAAGACCTCAGAAGATGGAATTACCCCCACATAACCTGGATCGGGAGAATAGCAATCTTAAAGATGAACATCTTACCACGGATATTATACCTCCTACACACAGCACCACAGACAATCCCGCACACATTCTTTACGGCACTCAAAACAGCATTCGTACAATATGTCTAGAAAGGAAAAAGGGCAGGGATCAGCTACGACAAACTCTGCCTCCCGAGGAGTTGGGGTGGGCTGACTCTAACTGACATCAAAAGATATCATCAGGCAACGGTATTACAGAGACTCAAAGAACTACACATGGACACGCCACACAAACGATGGGTCCAGCTTTGGAGGGACACTGTAGACAAAAAACTGCATACACTGGTGTGGTACAATGAAAGGGATGCCCGGACGCTGCCAGGGGAAGACTCTCCCCTCACGCACACCCTGACGCACTGGTCCACAATAAGAAAGGAGCAGCAGATCTTGCCCAAACCCAGTCCCCTGATACCCATCATGTACAACCCAAACCTGGGAGACAGCCTTCCACCGAATGCCTGGCCAATAGACGACCGAGATGGATACATACCAGTACACACAGTCCTGAACAATATGGGAGTCCAACCATTAAGGGTAATTTCGGGCGAAGAAACACCCACGCTAATGCACCAATTCCACTATATCCAGTTTAAGCACAACCTACCACACAGAAGCAAGATACACAGAGAACTAACATGGTACGAAAACCTATGCACACAGACACCAGAGGTGGAGGGTAGGGTTTCCGCATTATTTCAAAACCTACTGACGTCAAACTGTACGAACAACAACTTATACAAAAGACAATGGGAGGACTGGACAGAGGAGACCTTCACGGACAACCAATGGGGGAAGTTACTAACCCTACAACACAAAAGCGCCTCCAGCTCCCACTACCAGGAAGTAAATTATAAGCTCTTGACACACTGGTATCGTACACCGTCCCTGATTAACCGATACAACCCGACAATTCCGAACACCTGCTAGAGATGCGGGGAGGAACCCGGCACCTTAAGGCACATCTGGTAGGACTGCAACAAAATAAAACCTTTTTGGGAGAACATTCAACGGGAAATCAAGCAGATACTAGACGAACCCACACACTTGGCGATGGCTGCCGCTTTTCTACATCATACAGAACGACCAATACCCTCCTACAGGAGGTCGATACTGAGGCACTTACTAAAGCCGGCCAAGTCCCCGGTCCCACTGCACTGGAAAAAGGAAAACCCACCCACGATAGAAGAATGGACACGCAGAGTAGAAGACATCAGGATAGCAGAGGCAAAAATAGCAGATTCCCAAGGGAGAAGCGACAAACATGTGGAAAGGTGGACACCCTGGATACTACACAGCACTTAAGTGGAGATGGAAGATGAGATGCACTGGGACGGGGGGGCGGGGCGAATGTCTAATCTCTAATTTACCTCACATTAAAGAAACACTATAGTCCCCAGAACCACTGCAGCTTAATGTAGTGGTTCTGGTGTCTATAGCCTGTCCCTGCAGGCCTTTTAATGTAAACACGGCGGCACTGCAGCACTGGCGTTAGTTAACATGGCAGATCATATGGGTGGGGCATTGTGATGTCACATGGGGGGGCGGCAAACTTTACTTTTGCCTAGGGCGGCAAAAATCCTTTCACCGACCCTGATCACAGATAGCAAAAAGGGAAGGTTATAAGACATGGGCACGAGAGAACACATACTAGGCGAGACAGGCCCGCGAGCCAAAACACAACACTGAAAACCATGGAGCCTGCGAGCTCACACATGTACATATGGTATGTGGAATATGGACCTGCGAGTCTCCATGCACACCATCTGATCCCCATACATAAATCTTTGTATGATACAACAATAAATAAACCTAAAAGGAAAAAAAAATGGTGAGCCTGCGAGCACACACGGATGCATATGGCATATGGTATATATCGTAGAGACCATGCACGCTGTCTGATCCCCATGCATAAGTCTATGTATGATACAACAACCATTCAATAAAAAATCATATTTACAAAAAAATATAAAATATTAATTTCACCATATGTAACACAGCACTAAAGCATTTAGCATTCATCCCCACAAATGGGGGCTATTTAATGGATCAGGGACCCTGATTGGTGGGTTTGGGCCATAAATAGCAATAGAGGGGGACATACTGCCTCCCTCTGGCACCTACCCATAAGGTAAACATTCTGATATTCTGTAATGGTTTCTGATATCTATGATGTCAACCCTAGAGAATGAATGTAAAGGTCACAGACATAGCACTGAGTCATCTCTTCTGCAATTAATGCTGAGTTTTGATTTAGACCTGTATGTTATTTTTGAATCTCTAAGTATGCTCCGGTATGCTTTTCTTTTTTCCACTTACAGCTTTATCGATTTTGCAGTAAAGAAAAAGAAACTTAAGGACTTACAAAAAAGAAAGCCAGTGAAATACAATTTTAATTACTCAGTGTGCATGTAGTCACCATCCAGGAATCGTATGAATTCTGCCCTTCCCTCGGATATATGTTATTAACTGTTGGTCTCCATTATCTCCAGAGTTGCTCTTTCCTGGGCTGGGATTATGTGGAACTGGGCTTGCTGTTGGGAGTTAAGGAACTGTGATTTTTTGTATGTCTTGACACCTCATGTGGTTCCGCAACTGTCTCTTATGTCTAAATTACCCATTATAGGTGCAATGTGTGTATTATTGTAGTGCTTATTTGTGAAAAGTTTTGTGTAATCTCCTGTTCTGCTGATTTAAAACAGTATGATACTAGCCACCCACTATCAGTATGCACTTAACCGAGCAATGAGGAATAAACAGCAGACAAGCAATATATCCATTATCACTTTTTTTCATGAATTAGCATCTGTGGGAATTTTTTAAATCTGAACAAGTTTTTCATGCATGTATTGAATCTTTGGATCAAACTTCTTATGGTCTTTGGGCAACTTGGGAGAGCTGCTCAAAAAGTGGTAGAAGATTTCTAAGTATGACTAAAAATGAAACTTGTACAATGTGAAAACTTTCCAAATGGAGGTGGGTTTCTTTTTGGTACCTCCATCCACCACCTGCCCATAGTTGAAGACAGCGTGGAACCTAGGGGTGCAGTGGTGGACCGTGACCTGTCAACCACTCATTGTTTAAATGGGAGCCCCCACTAATACTTCATTCAGAGAAATATGTGCCCAATTCTTGAGCAACTATCCCAAGTTGTATCTGGCTAAAGCGTTCACACAAATTATCATATTTCCCTTGTTACCTCCTACTGTCTTGCATTATTTGTATAGTATTCAGTGTCCTCCTAATCTATAACTTAATTCTTATTAAGTATAACTCCCTTTTTGGCTTAACTTATGGTCATTTTTGCCTGTATGTACACCATCTACAATTTTCTGTTGAGATGCTTTTTAAGGAGCATTCAACATCCAAGTCTCTTTTTCAGCTAATTCTCCTATACTCCCACGTTCGAAAGCTTTGGTGCAATGGAAGCACATTTTATCATTCATTATGTAAACAGAAACCATTTCTGTCAAATGAAATGATAATTTAGCTAGGAAACTATGACATTCAAGAATTTCATGTGGTTGCCATATTACTCAGATCTTTGCTTCTCCTTGATGATTTGTGTTATTTACAGAACACGTGATACTGCCAAAAAAAAAAAGCCTGATATCTAGACATGGCTTTCAGAGAACCTGAGAGTCCCATGGGACCGATGATGAAACTAAAACTTTCCATCAGAGAATTCCCTTGTAAAGAAATGCATTGCAATTTCTATTGTATTACAAATATATGTAAATTCAGCAGAACGTAAAAAAGTATTGCAAGTAAAAATGTTAATTCCTTAACTAAGAAATATCACACACACAATGCATGCTATCTAAAACATTAGGACATGAAGATACAACTGAAAGGTGAGGCAGAAGGAGTTGTTGGATTGATGTGAAAATAGGCATACACCAGTGCCTCAGAACTTTAGGATTACTTATTGATGGGTGGTATTGATTTGATTCAGATTTTTTTTTCTGTTCACTCACTTTGCATATTGTTAACTGATAAAAATTCTTTCACTCCTTCCTAAAATATTTGCACATTTTTGTACATCCAAGAATATTGGCACATTTGCATGCATTCTTACTAGTGACAAAATGTGGGAGTCATTTTCATGGAACCAAAGGGGTTTTTCACTAAACACCGGGTTTTGTCTAGATGTCCAAAATATGATGAAAATGACCAAATTCAACAACAATAGCAATTCCAATATATGCTGAAGCCAAATATGTTATATGTTTGGAACTTGATCTGTCCATGCGAATCTGCAGCAATAGCCTGGATGCCTTCTATGACTGGATTAAAATTGGGGCTTTTGCATCCAAATTAAGAATGTGGCGAAACCAACCTCGCCACTGGGCATTGGAGAAGACTGATTGCCAGCCTCCTGCCATGTGACTATGGCCCCTGGGATGTATTGCCCTTTAAAGACATGATTTGGGCATAAGGGATTTGTGTTGTGCTTTTGCTGGCCCTTTAAGAACCATCTGGGGACATACTGTGGAGTTACTGGGTGGCCACCATTTCCTGTATCAGAGGCACATGGTGAGAACAATGGATGAAGCACATGGTGAGAACAATGGATGGCGGCCATTTTAACTCACAGACACTGTTTGGACTTTTCAACACGGTGCCATCTCGCCAGTGTTTGGTGCACAGAGACATCGTGCAGTGGTTTTGGACTATACAGCAGGGGACACATTATACAGTGATTGTTTTTCATTTAGCCAGTATATGTTCTGCAGAATCTGTATTAAACTGTATCTTCCAAAGTACTGAATGGATCTGGGTGAATTTCACCCAGATCCCCCGGTTCCAAGGATATACTTTTTATGGGGTTATTGCATGTTTTGGGGTCCCTGTGATGTGTTTTATGAAACTGTATTTCTCTGTCTGTGATAATTAGATTACCCATTGTGTAAGGTAATTGTATTACAGGCAGAGGGGAGGATTTTGTGTGGGAGTGTCTGTGTGTATTGTACAGATTGATTGGTTGTTCTGTAAAATCCTGTGGGCAGTACTAAGTTTGTGGATTGGGAATAAAAGAGGCTGTATGTGCCAGTACAGTTAGTTCCTGTTTTAACCCTCAAAGTGAAGTGTCGTCTCATTATTGGGGGAAGGATTTATTGTATGCTGTTCCAGTTTGACTGCTAGGAGAGTAAACCTATTCGCATGGTTTCCTATTCAGCTGTCTACAGCATTCATATGCTTGGGAGGATTTATTTGTTTCTCCGGTTCGGTGATTGTGGTGTCTGCCAGAGTGCTTGGAGTCCTCAGGAAGCGCTAGCAGCATCCTTCAACGGAGGTACCCAGTCGGGGTGCCAGGCGATCCGTTACAAATAAAATACACAAAGCACAGATTTTAAACAAAATATGGAGAAATGCATCTGGCAGGATGCAAATTTGCAAATTATCCCTCACTTGCTTTTATGCAAGTGAACAATATGTTTAAGTATTATTTACCAGCTGACAGTGCTAGTAGCTAGAGGGCAAATAGTTAAAAATTCCTTGCAATGTGAGGGTTAATTATGTGCATGTTGCCCAGCACTTGCTAGCCAGCCACCATTTTAAATAATTAAAATAAATAAATAAAAAGCAAATTAGGGTCAATAAGACCCTTCCTGGCCCCCATAGGTGGAACATGGGTGACTACTATAATATTCATTGCTTAATTGGATGGGTGCTGGGTGGGAAACTAGTATAATACCTCCTCCTGGAAAGAGCAGAAGTGTTTCTCTACCAATTATTTAATTTAATTAATTATTTTTATTTAATAGCCCCCACCCTCTGGCTATGGGTGGGGGCATGGGAGTGTACAGTTATCCATCCATTTTAAAGTCCCCTACTGGATATACACAGGTGGGGCCTTTCTAGTGACTAAGCAACAGTGGCTGCCCAGTTGCTAGATTTAAAGTTTAGTAGTATGCCCTCACATGCCACATGGCTGGTGGGGACATAGGAAGGTGAAATACTTCCCTTATAGGAATATGGGTTCTTTCTTTCTTTAACTGTTTAATGTGGCGACTGGCAAACAAGTTTTTAACTATTTGCCCAGTGGCTACTAACGCTGCCAGCAGTCAAATAGTTCTTTAAATGATCAAGTCACTTGCAAAAAACAATTGAATGATAATTTGTGAATGTGCATCCTGCCGGATGAATTTTGTTTGAATAGGTGCATTGTGAATCTTCCAAATTCGTTTACCGAATACATCCGGACGATTGATTCAATTCCAGTTGGACTGACCAAATTCTGACCAGAATTGGCTGTAGTAAATCTGTGAATTGCTAATGTGGTCTGAATTCTGTCATGTTCACTGGATTTTGTCTATTC